GAAAGCCCACATGACCATTTCAGTAGATGCAGTAAAGTATTTGATAACATTCAACATACATTCCTGATTTTTAAAACTGTCAGCAGACTCGGAAGGGAAGGGAACTTCTTAAAACCAATAAAGGGCATCACTGAAAAAACACACAGCTAACATTATACTTAATAGTATGAGTGCTTTCCTTCTGAGAACAGGAACAAGCAAGGATGTCCATTCTGGTGTTTCTAGTAAGTGTAATAGGCAAGAAAACATGAAGTAGAAGACTTACAGATTATAAAGGAAGAAGTAAAACTATCTCTATTTACAGCTCATTTTTGAAATATTTATTACATGTTGATAATAGTTTATATGTTTGGAGTTAAACAGAATATATTAATGAACTTAATTCCATTTGTTTCTCATTTTCGGTGTAGCTACTAGAATTTAAAATGACATATATAGCTCCTATATGTCACTCACATCTTATTCTATTAGACAGCTAGGTCAGAGAGATAGGTAAGGGCCAAATCAGGCCTTAGGGACCCACAGTGAAGATTAATATCTTTATCCCAGGGATAATAAGACCATTAATGGGATTTAAATAGGGAGTGGTACATGAGAAATAGATTGCAGAAGGCAAGAGTGAGTTCAAATCAGTTAGAAGGCTGGGGTGAAGGGGAGGTAGGGGAGGACTGTGCATGCTAAGGATGGAGTCAAGGAGGACCTGGAGCCAAGGTAAGACATTCAGACATGGTCACTGGGAAGGCCTCAGCTAAAATATTTGCTATTTATTGGTACTGTCACTATTTATTTCTGGCCAAGGAATGTTCAGAGGAAAGTACAATGTGTTAGTTTTCAAACATTACCGCAGAGATGGTTACAATGAAGGAAAAATTTATAAACAACAAGTTTGGAAAAGAAGTAATTATCAAGACAAAAAAAAGCTTTCAGTCAGAAGTTTGCAAACTACCTAATGAAAGAAATGTCAAAATACTGGTTTCTGTTAAGTACTTTCAAGGTAGTTCATTTCTCTTTTATTTTAGATTTGGTAAATTTTTTTCATTAAAAATTAAAAAATCACATATCCACATGACCTATTGACAGGTAGACTGCTAAACTGAAAAGATTGACAATGCAGACAGAAAGAAAATGTCAGGTATTTTCTAGATGTCATGGGTCAACTCCTTGCTCTAAGGAGATTCTTGTTTTCCCTTCCACCAGAGCTGTTCTTTGCTTCAAACAATATCTGTTTTTTACTTTCCTTTTTCTCTATCTGACCATAAGTCCTCTATTTGTTTGATGACTTACCCAGTTTCTTAGGGACCCATATCTGGGGGATTGGGAAACTGCTGGAGGAGGTGAGAGCAGTGGTGGTTTTGTTTCAGTTTTTAAATGTTTAAACATACTCCTGCGCCATTTCTGGTGGAACTCAGGCACGAGGGCCAATCAGGACTTCCAACTAGTTGGCCAGAGTTGGTTTCAACCCCCTATCCTAGCGTGGGTTAGGAAAAGTGGAAGAACTTGTGTACCACCCCTATGGAATCCAGGATACCTTCAGGAGACTAGCCCGGTTTTCATGTCTCTGCGGAGGCCCAAGTCCACTCCAAATCTCAGTGACCAGAAGCTGATTTCAATTCTAGTTCAGTTCAAGAATTCTACCTCTCAGACTACGTGAGTGATTGGGGAGTAGACGGAAATGTTCTGCTTCCTCTCTAGAACAGATTGCTCCTCCCATGTCTCATTCTCGACTCACATGCCCACCCTACAGACTGCTGGTCTCCGAGAGTGTGCGTGGTGGCAGGGGTGGGGGGCAGGATGGAGGAATGGAGAAAAGCAGATGAAGAGGAGAAGTAAATGATTATCCACGTTTCACTCATATTCCTATGGGATTCTTGCTGGTTTCCTGTGCAATCTTCAGGGGAAATTCTAGGAAAAAATAAAAGGCAGAGAGAGAAAGAAGGAGCAGAGCAAAAAAGAAGTAGGTATCAACTCTATATTAAATAATCAAGTTGGGGATTCTCGATATCAAAATTAATACTGTTTCACAGGGTTTTTCTTTTCCCTACAAATTCTGGAAAGTTAGGTTACGAACTACACTCATTTATAGATAAAAGAACTGAAATCCAGCTAGGTGAGGTCAGTTCCCTGAGACTACAAAGCAAAGTGGACATCAGTGCTGAATAGGCCTGTCTCCTGACTCACTGTGGAGCCTCTCACCACAACATGGCTCATTGCTCAGACTCAGCATCTGAGTCATCTCTGTGAGCTCTACTTTCATAGTTGACCCAGAATCCATTTCCTCCTTTCCTTCCCCACTGCCATTGCCTAGTGCCAAGGCTTTGTGACCTCTTACGTAGGCTATTGGCAAAAGCTTCCCATCTGGTCTTTAGCCAGGTCACTGTCACTTATCTATCCCAACCACCACTGTGAGATTAATCCAGCCAATGTACAACTCTCATGGAAACGTCCCTCTGAGAAACTTTTAATGACTTCCTGCTGCCTAATTTATTAAGTGTTTAAAACTCTTCAGCCTGGTGTCTATGGCCTGGCAATGAGCCAGCACTGTGCTCTGTACTCCAGTCCAAAGCATCCTACACCCTGAGTACTTCCAGCTCTATGGTACTCACTGTCTTTGCTTCTGTGCCCTCTCCTAGGAAGCCCCACCTATGACCCAACTAAGTTCTCAGATCAGTTCAAATGCTACCCCTCCTATGAAGCCTTCCTAATTCCTCCAACTCTGAAATTCTATACCTCTATGTAACATGTTGTCTTGTACTGTGGTTCTGTATATGCATATCTCATCTCTAATGTTAGACTGAGCTCCTTGAGGACAATGACCTGTGTCTAGTTCGTCTTTCAATCCCCAGGGCTCAGCACAATGGAAACACATGGTAAACAATGTTTTTTGAAAGAATGAATTCCTTTCACAAGAACAGACTCTGCTACAATGTATATCATCAGTTTAAGTGTTTTTCTTTAGGTTGCAAGGTCTTTTAGAGTAGAAACTTTCTTTATATTGTTCTCAGACCTTCATAACCATGCAGTGATAAACCCAATTAATTACCCAGGCTGACTGAACTGAAGTAATGCAGTAAAAAGATTTCACCAGTTCCCTTCTTCATTGTAATTGCTCAATACCTATTGAAAAGGATAATAAAATTCTCCAAAGATCCCTGAAATGTTTATGAATATGTATAACTTATTGTTAGTTAATGGAGCTTTTTAGATTTTCAATAAGCTTTCAGTACACACAGCACTAAGACCACACATAACCAGTCACACCAACCTAATTTCTACGTCAATTAAGTACACATCAGGGATACCATAAACAAAATGTCTTCATTGTTTGAGATTTTTCAAATCAAGAAGAAATGAAGCTGCAAATTCATCACATAAAAAATAAACATGTATTTCTTTTTCATTTTTAACCCGATTTTAAAATTTTAATAAAATATATACGAGGAGGATCCCCTGCTCCCCAAAACCCAGAATTATCTTCTGGAGGACAGACCCGTTATAGTATAAGCTTCTCCCACTAGATGAGTGTCCTGGGAACCCATCGTATAAGTATACTAGCCAGTGTTGTAGTGAGAGGCTGTGTTAAGCCTCAGTGAATTTTTTCTGAAGACTCAACACATTTGTCCATTTCATGATGGGTGATTTACAAGCACACCTTCCCACACTGCACTGAGTGTTCTTCAGTTTTTGACCAAAAACAGCATGACCTCTATGCACCACCCTCCCTATTTACCTGATTTCACCGAGTGACTTTTCTCCCCCCCCCCCCCCCCGATGAAAAAAAGTCCTCAAAGAAAAATGTTTTGCCAATGTGGAAGCGGTGAAACAAAAAAATGGCTGAAGCACTAAAAAGCGTCAAAATCATTGATAGGAATATTGCATCAAATGGAGAATACTTTTTGAAGGTGACTGAAGTTTAAACACGTAAGAATAAGCACACAATTTTTTATAAATAAATTCTGGGTTTGGGGGGTCCTCCCTTGTATTGATGAAACAGTAGTTTCAAAAAATCCTGGCAAATATCAAAATTGATGTTTACAACCCAAGAGCAGACCAAGAAGATCAGAAACTACCATTTGAAATATTGACTTGGAGGCCGATGCAAATGCAAACAGTGCAGGTATTTCACGGGACTTCGTTTTTGCTTCAGTTGGCAGTGGCAATGGTATCTGTCATCCGTTACATGTCAAAAAGAACTAACGGGTCTGCTAACCCACGTGCCAGTTACTTCTTCATTACCGATAGTTGCTGCACCTGTTAAAGACTGTCCAGTTTCCTTTGTACTTAGGGGTGTGTGTGGGGGGGGGTGGGAGTACAAGATGAAAGGTTGAAGGAGAAGAAAAGCAATATGAAACGGAAAAGAGCACACTCGAGTTTTATCATATAGCTTTTAAAAATAACTGAATCATCCACTGGTATTTAAATTTTTTTTACTTGATAGATACTTTTATAGTGAAAAGGTTTGAAAACAGTTTTTCAATTAGAATGTTTTCCATACCACGACCCCTCCAAAGGTGAAATATTTAACATTGAACGAGTCTTTCTAGATGATTTGTGCAGCTGGGATAATGATTTTTAAGACATGTCTTGTTTATTTTCACCAAGGTGATATGATCATGTTGCTTTGAGTAAGTCACTTTCTCAACTCTCAAGACAGAAACGACATTTGTTATACAGCTCGACTCCTGCTTAGGATACATTCTTCCTAGCCCTGAAAAACCCTGTCGCCGGGTCCTCACTGAAGACTCGCAGAGGGCAGGGCTCGGTGACTCCACAGTGTGCACATTCGCGTTTGTTGTTGACAACTGCCTGCTTCCACTCCTTCCCACAACCCTGTCCAAACGGGGTTCGTAATCCTTCTTCCCACTCACTCTTTTCACTCCCTGGGGTAGGAATGTTGGATCCTGTTCTCTGTCACCTGTCAGAATCTGTCCTCCTGTCACTGGCTTATATGGACAAATCAGCCTTCTGTCACGTGACCCCAGCTGCTAAAAACAGCTCCGGCTCCCACTCTGAACCTGGGCCTGAAACAATGTCCTCCACCAAAAGAAACATGAAGGACACTTGATCGCACAAGCCTTGGAATTACTTCCAGGAAACACTTGTAGAGACCATTCGGAACAACCTTTCCCTGGCAGCGCACACGGGGACGGCCAGGAGATGAGTGCATCTTTGAATTACAAGTCTTTTTCCAAAGAGCAGCAGACCATGGACAACTTAGAGAAGCAACTCATCTGTCCCATCTGCTTAGAGATGTTCACGAAGCCCGTGGTCATTCTCCCCTGTCAGCATAACCTGTGTAGGAAATGCGCCAGTGATATCTTCCAGGTAGGTTTGTTCGGAATGTAGGGGTGGAAAACATTCCTCTGAATCAGGTGCTTAACTTTAAGGTGAACTCCTTTAGAAAACTTTAAAAGGTTACATTCATTTTCAGGAAAAACAAAAATGTCTTAATGATTTGCTTTGTGCTTTGCTGTCAGCCTTCTCTTATTCCCAAATCTAATTTTATTTCAACATTAAAAATCATATTTATTTTATTTTTTTCAAAAATGGAATCTGTTTCAAAATCGTAAATGAATTACTATCCAAGATATTAATGTTGGAGTTCTGGCTGGAACTGAAAATATTAGATGGAAAAATCATCTCATGCTGAAAACGGTACATAGCAGTTGACTGTAGATGAGCGCTGACTCTGTGTTTTAGAGCCCCTTGAGGATGGGGCCTTAAGGGGCTATCTCATGGCAAGCTTAAAGTAGAAGTTGATGTTGTGTGTAGCCACAGAGAGTGAAGAGAAGTCTCAGAAAAGCTACCCGTGGCATTACTCAATTCCTCTTTCCTTGCTTGGCAAGAACAGGCCTCTAACCCGTACTTGCCCACCAGAGGAGGCACTGCCATGGCATCAGGGGGCCGATTCCGCTGCCCATCCTGTAGGCACGAAGTGGTTTTGGACAGACATGGGATATATGGACTTCAGAGGAACCTGCTGGTGGAAAATATCATTGACATCTACAAGCAGGAGTCCACCAGGTATGATTGTTCCATGTATGAAACCCATTTGAAGTTTTATTTGGTTGTTTTAGTGGGTCACTACACTGAAGCTTGTTTGGCAATCACAGGCTAATTGTTTTGTAGCAAAATGTTTTCCCAAGTCAGTCTTTTCCAATGGAAGAGAGGGTTACTTATGGGAGGAAAGAAGGGAGCTGGTGACCATGCTTTTGTATCAATTTAAGAATGGAGTAACTCAATACTAATCCAGTCCAGATGGTGACACTGAAAGAGGCATCAGGCTGTCCACCACATGCTTTATATTATATGCAGTGTAGACATTTCTGTACTTCACAGGTCCTTTGTAGCTCCAGAAAGTTATAGCATAATATAAAATTATAGTATAAAACTTTATGTAAAAACTGTGGCATAAAACTTTAGAGAAAATCACAGAAATGGCATCTTCCAAAATAGTTCTTTCCTAGTTCAGAGAGTCTCACCTTAAAATTATCTAGATGATAACAATAAAAACAAAACTCTCTAACATGTTATGGTGTTGAGTCTGAAAGTTACAAAGGAAGGCATAGTCCTGGCCTTTAGCAACTTAAAGTTTAGAGACATGGGGGGTAGGAGGGAAAGATGGAGTTCACGTTATGTTTTCCTATCTCTATCTAGATTGTATTACTGCACACTTACCTGTTGATTGACTGAGATACATTATATACTCCAATCAGTTTTTTTAAAGGGGGGGCTTCTTCCTCATCAAGTCACATTGGCTATAGCGTTCCTTTCCTAGGCGAGAGCTCATTCCTCGAAGTCATGGTGTGAAGAGCCCTTTTCCAATTGTATACAGGTCAGGCGGGTCCACAAAGCTTGACAGCAATATTGAGACCATCTAGAAATGACCTCACTGTGATTCCTACTAGAAGACATGTATTTATGGAACATCTGCAGGGCTCCGAGAGCCTCACACTCTTGGAAGGAAAACCGTTTTATAAATCTAACATGTAATTATTGTAATCACTATGGCTATTAGTTTCTGGTTCTGATTCAGAACTAAATTAGGTAGTGCCAGGATACAGATGGAGCTGGGGAAGAAAAATGATTGTTAGTACATATTGCAGAGATAATGGAGTTGACTATTCCCCTTGAGCCCAAAGTCTCTTGAGAAGAAGAAAAGTACCATTGTTGCTGTTGCTTGGATTTCACTGTATTTCATTACTTTAAAATGCAAATATGTACACTGTCTCTTTCAAAAATTAAGCAGTTATTAAGGTAATTTATACAACAACAGATTTAGTGCATAGTACAGTGCCTTAGACAGAATAGTTGCTCCATAAGTGCCAGCTGATCAAGCAACACCACGAACCTTCCTACATGTTCTAGTTATCATAATAATTTTCTGTTTTACTGCTTGACACAGTGAGAGCTTGAAACATGTGAAATAGCAATAATTGTTATGAAATCCAGAGGAGAGGAGATGTTACAACTTGTAGCATTAGTAAAACTACAAGACACATTAGTTAACTATGAAGTCTGTGTGGTGCGTGTGCCAAAAATAGTGCCCAGGTAAGCAAATGGTCTAAAAGCAATGAACCAAATGTCCAACAATGAAGTTCATAGCTGAGTGCAGTAGGGGTGTTTTTGTGATTATCAAGTTCTTCTTATGCTATTGTTTCTTAACTTGAGTCTTGCCTTTGGGGCATTTTACTTGGTAGCAAAACCACAGGTTGCACAAAGTGCTCAAACAAATGTTTGGGCATAAATCTAGTTGTTCCTTTGAGTCTGGAGGCCTTATAAGCCCAGAATCTTGGACTTAAGGGCATATTAGGGGACCCTGAAATATTATACAGAGTGAGGTGAACCCAGCTCTGACCTGAAGTCATTTGGCTTGGGGGCAGAAAGGGGAGGAGCTGGTGAACTTTGACCTTCTACAGAAAGGCTAGAGATTGTAGGTCTGGAAACACTTGACTTTCTCATCCAGAATTCTGCATGGTACTGAACTAGCCACAGTATGGGGGAATGACAAGAGAAGGAACTAATTTTTATTATTAATAATAATGAATATAATTAACTTTAAAATACAGTAAGTAAAACTAGTATTTTCTGAGTATGTGTCAACTACTGTTCTGGGTGGTTTACACATAAGTTATGTGTAATTCTTCAATTCTCAGCATAATCCTGTGAGGCTTAACTATTATGATTATTACCTTATTAAAATTTTTAATATATATTATTTTAAACATTCAAATAGAACTACAAGGCCACTTATTTTAGTGGGATTTCAAGAGGAAACATGAATAAATAAATGCATGTGTTTATTTAAATTCTGCTATATTTTATTAGTAAACCCTTAGTCCAATTTTTTGATATGAGTAAAAGCTGAGCCTGAAAGAAGTGAAGTAATTCGCCTAAGGCCACACAATCCCCTTATGGAGAAGCTGAGCTGGAACTAAGCTTTATGGTTGGTTTGACTCTTAAGCAGAGTTTCACTGCTTAAAATGCCTCTTTGCGACCAGATGCCTATCTTTCAGGAAACTCTGAGATGGTCCCAGCAACCTCAGAGACCAGAGAGTGCCACCTACAGACTCCTCGAGTCGAGCCTGTACAAATGGCCAGGGCCCCTGCCAGCACTTGGTGCAAGCCCTGAACCACACACACTGTGAGCTGAGCCATCCTCATGTCATGAAGGGGCATTTACATCTTTATTCAACATGCCATGGTTGTCCCAAGTCTGTTACATCTTTCGAGTTGTCTAAAGGTTTTCATTATAAGCTCATTTGTAAGTGGGAAATGCCTCTGGACCTGTGTTGCCACCTAAACAAGAACAACCTAATAAGGAACATGGGAAGTAGTTGTCGATCTGTATTGCTTTATGAAAAAATAAATAATCACAATAAAAACTAAACATAGAGCCTATGGCTATTTCCACCTCTTCGATGTTTGCATGTACTGAAAAAACCGAGTTCTTTCGCAATGTCTGTGGTCATAGCCGTTGACATCAGAACAGCACAGAGGTGCAGGCCACCTCAGGGAGTGCCCAGGGGAGAACACCCGCAACAGTACTGCCTGGGCCATTTCCCAGTAAATGTGGTCCAGGAACTTTCTTCATGTTCACTGTGAGGTGGAATCACATGAGAGGGAAAGTTTTAGGGGTGGAGAACCTTTGCCCAAACAAAGATCAAATCACCACTCCCCATCCCTACACAAGCCCCAGAGTACTTCATCATTTGTCAATCTTTAGGCTGTTGTCTAGTCTTTTTGCCAGGCATGAGTGCTCAGTGACCCCAGGCTTTTCCCATATTTTACACACCATTTCCAAATAAGTGGTTTGATGTTAGAGCACCGGGAGCACTACCCATTAATCTGACAAATTCTCTTTCGATTCTCATTCATTAATTCAATAAATGTTTCCTGAGCACCCACCCAATGCAAGACATTGATCATTCTGGGCACTGAGGATCAAGTAAAACAGAAGACAGACCATGGTCCCTGCCCTCAGAGAGTTTATATTCTAGTGGAGGAAACAGACAGACCTGGGAGGGAGATACATTTTCTTGGGGGGGGGGGATGTTTATTTTCCTCTGTTAGTTTTCAGGCATATAGCAGAAATCAGGCCAGGAGGTCACTGACTTCATGGGAACATATTGCTATGAGACCAAGCAAAATTCCTTTTATAAAAATCAGATTCTGAAATCTTGAAGCTGGCAGTCCCTACAATTTCCTTATCAGACCCAGGGTTTTTCCCAGTCTCAAGCACTTAACTTCAACCCAATGACGTACAGATGTGAATCAGCATATTCACTATCTTTCTCTGAGTTCTGGGTCTGCAGCTACAGTATATTACATATCAATATTAGGGGTTTTCAAACATTTTGATTCATGTCTCACAGGAGGAAGTATGTTTTGCATTGTGATCTAGTGACCATTACATACATGGATGAACACAGACAATAGATACAATGACATATATACTTTTGTTTCAGGTTCCCACATATACTTATGCACATAAGTTGTACCTATATATGTACAACTGAAACAAAAGTTTCATATATCAATACTTGATCCTTACTACATGTAGTTCACAGTATCGGCTATTTTATTTTATTTTACTTTTTTATTTTATTTTATTTATTTTATTTTACAATGCTGGTCATGGCCCCCTAAATTGATTTCATGGCCCATAAAAACTTGCAGTTTTTAAAAGTAGATTTTGATAACAACTAAAAAAAAATCAAAATCTGAGCTACTTCTAAATAACCATATATTTGTGAGTATGAGACACGGTTTGGGACTTGTATTTAAATTTTTTAAATACCTCTGAAAACTATTAACAGCCTCAGCCTTTGGATAAGATATATAAAAATTCCAGATTTTGGTGTGAGCAGGCTACAACCGCACCTCCCACCATGCCCTCCAGAGGGGATCCAAAGCACCACACCCTGGTGCAGATCTGATCTTGAACATGACACCTAAGCCATGATGATGGTTAGAAGAATATACAGGGTTCTCTCCTGTCTGTGAACTTGGGCTGCCTCAGGTGATTCCACAGCTAACAGGTTATCCTTTAGTAACAATGATGTGTCCACTTCCCTCCTGGTTTCTGTTTTTCACTCCTTGCTTCTCATCTCATTAGCACATACACGCCCAATGCTCCATTATTATCTGCTGCAGCTGGAATAAGTTTTGGTTAGTGCTGACCTGCTGGGAAAACTAAAGCTTGGAGCTTATCTGTGAGATTTACATTTCTAAGGTCCACCATGTCCCAGAACAGAAATCTGCATTTTTCTTATTGCTCATTTAGTATAATTGTTCACTTTCACTGAGCACATACTACCACTCTTAACCACTGCCAAGTCCTCAGGAAGTTATTTACATTTAATTTTCTGGGTGAATGGCAGGTGTTCTCTTGAGAAACTGGTGGCCTATGGAGACAGTGCTGGGTACTCTGCTAACTTTTAGGAATTGAACTAGCTGGTTTTTGAACCATCAATAACGTGAAATCTGCCTTGCTCGGAATATTCCCACCACCAAGGTTGGCAAATGCTGCAGATCAGAGTCTCCAATGCCTCATCTCCACCCCAGGCTGGTTGTTAGAGGTTTGTCAGTACATTACTGCTACTCTTGCAGGGAAGCTGAATGTGGACGGCTCTGGGAGCCTGTGGAATTCGCTCACCATTTACCCAGGGGCTGGCTGGGGTTTGCACTGCTGATGGACCGTCTGGGCTCTGCCTCAGTGGGGGCTGAGGATTTTTCTGCTACCTCTTTCCCAGACCAGAAAAGAAGGCCGACCAGCCCAGGTGCGAGGAGCATGAAGAGGAGCGCATCAACATCTACTGTCTGAACTGCGAGGTGCCCACCTGCTCTCTGTGCAAGATCTTTGGGGCACACAAGGACTGCCAAGTGGCTCCCCTCACTCACGTGTTCCAAAGGCAAAAGGTAACAGCGTCCCTCCTGTCTCTTCTCTGCAGCCCCTTCCAAGTGCCCTTGGGATTGACTTCCTGCCACCAAAATCACATGGGGACAAGGCCTTGAGATAAGAAGGGCAGAGGATCCAGTGGGGAGGAATGCTGACTGCATGAGGCCCCATGGTTCATTCTCTGGTGGGTGTTCTGGAAGGCCAGAGAGGGAAGGGATGTGGAGGGTCAAGAAGGAGGTTGCAGGGGAAGGCTCCCTGTTTTGGAGCTCTTTGCAGGTTGCTGGGAATGAGCAGTGCTGTGGGACTATAAGCTCAAGCTGTTCAAACATTATTTAAAATTCAGACTACAGATAAGGAAAGGACAAGTTTTTATTCCAGTCACAGAGTAGTTTTCTGCATTCACCAACAAAAAATTCCTTTTACCCACTACTCCCACCCACCCACCTTGTCTTCCTCACTCTAGTGGGGCAGAGATACAATAAATGGCATTTTGTCAATGAACAATTTTAAAACAGTGCCTTGTGCCGGCCTCAAGGCTAGGTGAAACTGCCCTCTAGCCTTTCATTCCAGGCCAGTTGATAAAAGGCCTCCTCTAAATGCCCCTACTCCAGGGCCTCCAGGCTTGGTCCTCTCATTCTAACCAAATGCAGCATCTTCCTCAGCTTATCACTAACCTGCCAATACAGTTTCACCCATGGACAAGTAGGAACTTCTCCATTTGATCCAAATAAATGCACAGAGTCCTGTGCTCAAATGGGTGCAGCCACTCCAGGCACCTAGGATTTGAGCAGCTCCACATCTCTGCTTCTTTCTATTAGAGTCACAGATTCCACACTGGGCAACACCAGTGTGAGCCAACCTCACTGTGAGCACTAACTGCTAAAGGAGCAGAATTCAGTAGGACACCTATTGATATAACATTTGTTTTTAATCCACTTATACTTTATTCCTTCCTTCCTTCCATCCCTGTCCCCAGCTCTTAGTGTGCTAGAACTGAATAGTACCAGTGTCACACTGCTTCCCTCAGAGCTCTGGAGACTCATGTGGGATAGACAGGAGGACTTCTACTCCACTCCTGTGTGGCCAAAGCAGCTTCACTCTCATCTATTTCTTCCATTTAAATAAAGGGTTCTGTAGCTTTAAACTGTTTTTGCAAACACTGTTCTTGTCACTTAATGTGTGAGAAAAGTTGATCACACGTTTTGCCCAGCATCATAGAGAAGGTAAAGGCAGAGATGAATCGAGTAGTTTTCCCCTCTCTGTGTCCCCTAGTGCTCCTTAGGCCAACCTTGGGAAGGGAGTAAGCACAAACAATGGAATCTCTTTGGATCAAGAATATGAGAGAAATTTCCCCTAGAAACAGCTGTATGTTAGTAGTTTCAAGTTTGTAGTGACTTGTAGTCTAGTATGTGAGTGTGTGTACACTTAGTACATAGAAGGTGTATAAGTATATGTTGAATAAGTATAAGTAAATAAGTGAATGAATGAGTGAATACTCACTATATATATATTCCTAGTAAACTGATCCTCAGATGACTTGGCAAATGATTTATTTTGGGTCCATGATGTCACGTACTAGACTCCATTCAATTTAAAACAATACTTAGAATTCTTTAGCTTGAGCATGCTATTCTATCTGTGGCCTATAATTTAGCTTTTAAAATATTTTTAGCAGGGCCAGAGTCAGTAAGGAATTTGATGAAAAATCTGAGACCTCGTCCCACACAAATGCATTTCTATACTTATCCATATAGAGTTTTACTTTCAAGATTAGGAGGTTCTAAACCTCCCAAGCCTCACTGTTACTTTTTAGGGTTTTATAGATCCTAGATGAAGAACCCATTGAGGACAATGCTGTGATTAATACACAATCAGTGCTGACTAGAAAACCCCCAAGATCTTGTACCCCTCTTTTCTCCTCATTAGTCTGAACTCAGTGATGGTATTGCTGTCCTTGTGGGAAACAATGATCGAGTCCAGGGAGTGATCAGCCAGCTGGAGGACACCTGTAAAACTATTGAGGTAAGTCAAGTCTCCATAGAAATATAACCCAAGCCCAAACTCCTGGGGGTGTGACTTCTTCAATACCATGCTACAAATCCCCATTTCAATATTTAATGACCTCATTCCTGGTTTGTCTCTAAAATATTCACCTCCTGGTTCAGGAAGAGAAGTGACCTCATGAGTCAATAAGGCATATTTCACCATATTTACTAGGCTTTTGTTATATGTTTTGCTCCTTCGTGGTCAACACATTTTGAAAGATTGGCTACAAGAAAAATAATTCCCAGTAATGAAAAATGAGTGTCATCTGTTTTTATAGCACAATTTCTTTGGGAAAATCGAAATGGTTTTAGGAAATGCTAGCTAGTGCTTTAGGAATTTATATGTGGGTTTGAGCTGCATATCTGTGCCCTGACAGTGGGGCTGCAAAGGGCCAGCAGGAGGACAGAGATCTGCCTGACCGTGGTTACAAAACAACTCAGTAGCTGGGAGTTCACGGAGGCCTGAGTTCTCGTTCATTCAACTATCTTTGCCCTCTTCCTGGCCCAGTACCTGGCACATAATAAACGCTAAATGAAAACTTGAACAAAAGGATGAATGGCTTGTTCTTTAGCTTACACTTAGGGTTGGCATGTAAAAGACATGGGGAATCTACTCTTTCTCAAGGTCATTTACAAACTGTGTAATTGCTGAAGGCAAAATGCTGAAGCCTAAAGAGATTTAGCTCTGAAGCAGGTATCTTTTCAAGACAAAGATTCACAGGCCAGTTAAGCCATGCTGCAGAGGGGCAGGTGTCAGACATCCAGGTCTCTGGTTCTGTACCTGGGAGCCCTTTATTCCTCCCTCCCTCCTCTTAGTTTTGGGGTGATTTGTGTTGGACTTCAGGTGCAGAGAGTGAGGCTCTGTACTGCTCAGTTCATGGCTTATTGTCTTCATATCTGGGGGCAAGGTCCCTCTTATTTATTTATCTCCTTTTATCCCCATTTCCCACTCCTGTTCTCTTCTCTGTAAATAACCAGTCTAACATGTTTGATGTTCCATGTACCTGTATTCTTATAAAATGTGTACTGTTGTATATGCATGTCTTAATTTTATAAATGGCATTGCATTTCTCTTTCTGCTTCCTACTTTTTTAAAAACTAAGCATTATGCTTTTAAGATCCAGTCACATGCACATTCAATCTTTCAGTTTTATCATCTGTAAAAATGGGGTAACCATAGTACCTACTTTATAGTTACTGTGAGGAATTAAATAAGCATAAGCAAAATGCTTAGTACAGTGCCTGGCATAAGGTAAGTGCCCTATTCTTATTATTTTGTCATTAGAAAGATGACATTCTATCAAAAGCCAAAGGCCATTCCTAGATGATGACTTCATGACCTTGGTCGTAATCATCTCATTATAGATTTACACATAATTAAAGTCAATCTCCTCTCTTCTTCACGCTCATAGTCCTATTAAAATCCGTGATAAACTTGGGATCCACTTATAGAAGAAAACTTTTCTGTTGGTAAAAAACTCAAAGGCATTGTGAAGTGGACAATATAAACTTTTCTTTTTACTTATTTACAGTAAAGGCCGAATACAACTCAATCATTAAACCATGAATCAGCATTCCAGTGTGGTACCACACTGAGTCTTGAGTGTGGAAATAGGAGTGTGTTGCTAGTACATCCGTGAGGTAATCTGTACTCATCACTGGTCAGGCCTTGATCAGCGACCTCTGTCATGGGAACAGGCTTTCTGTCAGGGACTTTTAGGCTGGGGAACACATACAGGAGAAAAGTCTTGTGAGTCACAGTTGGCCTTGAGCAAATGCAAACAACTTGGCCTCACCTAGCCAGGGTCAGAGGACACTGAGAGGGCTCGGAGGGAGAGATTTAACAATACGTTTTGTTCCTGGAGGCTCAAGGGTACAATGGGAAGCAGCTGTTTTTTCTTCCACTAAGAACAAGACAAGAAGAAACAGGTTTGAAACTAAGTCAGCAGGAGGAATTTACTGCCGATGTCAGGAAGAATTTCTTGGCAGTGACCATCAGATTATGACCTCTGTAGTTACTGATAAAAACATTCGGCAAACAACGCACTTTTTATAAGTACTTCCTCAGGTTACTAGAGGAGGGTGTGTAACTGTTGCCTGTAAGCCTTCAAGATGAGACTGTAAATTGGCAGGAATCTTGAAAGTGTACATCCCTTTTACCTGTTTATTTTACTTCTGGGATTTTACCTTAAGGAAATAAATTTAAAAAGCAGTATATAAAATGGTATGGAATGTATATATTCATAAATAACCCTACATACACTCATAGAGGGGAAAACTCCAGAAATCAAAAGGTTAAGGGCAGTGAATAGTGGGACCATGGGTGATTTTCAATGTCTTCTTTATGTATTCCTGCATTCCACATTTTTCTAAAGTGGGCCTGACATTTTTAATACTCAATAAAATAAATAAGGAGTGAATAAATGAATATGGCTCAGATAACAGCTCTTAGATCAGTTTAGTTGGCTCATCTGGAAATGCAGGGATCAGCTCAGAGCCCCATGGAGGTCTCTGATTCTGTGATTCCCACTTGATGCCAATTCCCCCATTTGAAGAGGCCCCAAGGACAGTCACTGCCACAAAATGCCCACACTCTACACACCTGTAATGACTAAGGTGCTCTCCTGGAGAGGTAGGGCCTTATCAGTGGGCAAAGCACCGGCTTCCTGTCGGTCCAGAGGACAGCTTGTGAAGTGCACCAGGTCTTTGCCTCAGACTGAAAGGGTCCTATCTTGCCAAGCAGGTGAATTCTGTGCCCAGGGTCAGGGTTACAGAGCTCTTGTGTCTCCCGTTCTGCCTGGGGTTGTTGATTCCCTCTTGGGCTCTGCTCACCACCTGCCTGGAAACATGTTCTGAGAAGCCCTTGGTGGCTGCCGACCAGGGGGTGGGGAGCTGTTGTTAAAGAATTCTCTTTTCTGATTGGTGAGGAACCCCTCAGGGATGGGAAATGGAGTAGCCCCTGGGGTGGGCTCTATCCTTCCCTAATTACTTCACCTCTCCCCATGAGGGTCCTGACACCTGCCCCTTGGTCAAGTGTCCATTCCTGCACATGGCTAATTTTGTCCCTAATCATGCAATGTCTTACAGAGCTGGCCTGGGCAGTCACCTGGCTTAGGACTGGCCCTGCACAGCTGCTGTGCTTAGGGAAAATCACACTGTAGACTCATTTTTATTCTTTAAAAATAATGTATCCAGTTGTTGTGAGTTTGCATTGATGATGAGAGTGGCACTGAGGACTGCAGTCATGAAAGGGCAGTCTGAACTGTGTCGGAGAGGAGTGCATTTTCCTTTGTTGCTGAGGTCTGATGGAAGATGAAGGAGCCTTTATTCCTTCTAGCTGTCCTGAGTGTGGATCAGCCTGGGGCACTCCCAGAGCTCTGGATTGCAGGGCACTGGAAGGCCTTCTGAGCTGTTTAGCAGAGCCCAGAAAGGTTGGGGGCTACCCTTGCTTTTTCAGGCCCAGAGCTGTTTTGTTTTGGGACAGGCTGGGACTGAAGAGGTTGGGCTGCTGGAGGGAGTGGTGAAGTATACTGCCTCAGAGCTCTCTGTTTCCAGGCAAATGTGTCTGACTTTCATTCTTCATCCCTAGAAAACATAACCTCCCTCTTATTGTCTTTGTAAATGACACTAATTCTATGTCACAGGACCCCAAGAGAGCAGAATATTGATATTGGCCCTTCTGAGGTAGGTGGGCAGGCAGGCTGGAAATTATCTTGTTTCATATGAATGCCTGTTTAGGGGAAGAAGCTACAAATTGAATAATAAATATTTGATCTTGAGCATTTGCAATATCTGAAAAAATGAAAACTTTAATAAAATTCTCCAATGATTTTGCAATGAGAACCACTGTATTTCTAAAACATTGATTTTATCCAAACAGCTCTGAGACATTGTCCAGGCAGTTACAACTAGGAAGTATGACTATAATAAAAATCATTTTAATAAGCATGCCCTAATTTTTGAGGCCATATTTAGAGGCAATATAATATGTTCTTAGAAGAGAATACCTTCTTCACAGTGTTGTTGTGATGGCTAAATTGGGGTAAGAGCACATGCCAGGGGCTCAATAAGCATCACCTTGTGTCATCCACAAAGTCATTTTAGAAAGAGCACACTTATTCTAATGATGTTAATGGTCATTTAAACCACTGGAGCATCTGTAGCCTATTGTAGGTAAAGTCGGAGTAAGCATTACAGGGTCTTGGTCAATTCTGAGAGTAGGGTGAAGCAACACCCTGCAGAGGAAAAAGTGAGGATGAATGGAGCTCCATCTTTACCTAAGAGGTTTTTTGGTAACTGGAAATATTGGTAACCAACAGAGGCTGAGCCTCTTCCGGGAAAGGTCCTGACTACCCACAGCAGATGGGAATGAATTAAACAGCTGCTCAGCTTACTGTGGTCTTGTGACTTTTACTGAACCATGAGGCTCAAGCCAGGATGGGCTCACCTGGCCCTCAGCCTTCAGGGAAAGTTTTCCTAAGGAGCTTCTAAATGATCTGGACTAGTCTAAAAAACCCCTAATGCCAGGAATCCCAGGAATAAGCATTAGAATTTCCATAAATTGTAACATAATTATTTTTCTAACATAAAGTAGGTAATGACAATATGGTAGGAAAAAAGCATGAGTTTAGGAGTCTGAGAACGAAGGCCATTGAATAGGGTTGTTCCACTGAACACAACGCAGAGGCACCTGGAAGGCTGCAGAGGGGCTGAACTCCAGCCCATGTGCCTGGAGGCACAGCATTTTTCTGATTTGTCTGTCTCTTTTCTAGCACAGCCTTGCAGAGACCTGGGTTCTCATCCTAGTCTGCACTCATGAGACTTCTTCCAAATGCATATAATAGGCCTTTATGAGTGAGGGTTTGGGTTTGAGTTCCTCAGGAGAATATTCCTATGTTAAGGTAGTTCTTTCTTTAGTATTGTTAATCTTTTGTCTATTTTTTCACCCTCTTTTGCCTTACTGAAGGGACTTTTGAAGTAGTGTATTTCAGGCAAAGCTGAGTGGCTACTTGCAGACCCAGAACTGCAGCTCCAGACATGTGTGTGGTGCATGGAGGAATGTGGTAGAGATATGAATGGGCCCAGAAAGCCAGTTGCTCATTGACAAGTGGTAGGGCTAAAAGCTTATCTTTGTCTCTATTTTGGTCACAGAGCCTCACTCCTTACATGGTAAGAGCGTTGGTCACAACTGTCTCAGATTTTTCCTGTCGTGGCCATGGCACATTGCCATGGGACTGACATTGCAGGGCTAGGACATATAATTTATACCTTAGTGCTGTAGATGACCACTCTGGAACTTGCTGGGAATCAAAGGAGGCATTTTATATCTAAAGAAGCATTTCATAGCCTGTAGAATATTTGAACTATAGAGAAGAAAGAGACCTTAGCGACCATTCATTTTGATTCCTTAATGCAAGGGGCCCCAACCCCCAGGATGCAAACCAGTACCAGCTATGCCTATTAGGAACCAGGCCACAAGCAAAGCTCCCCTGAGCTCTGCCTTCTGTCTCCACCCTCCATCCCCATCCTCAGCGGTGGAGTGAAGTTCCCAGCCTCTCTGTCCCTGCCCCACCCTCCCTGCCTTCCACAAAGCTAGCCAAAGAGGTTGGGGATTGCTGCATTAATGTACAGATAAAAATTTAAAAGTGTGTTATTGTCCTGAGGTTAAATGGCTTCCTTAGGGTTGCATAACATTTTCTTGTTCTGTTCTTTTGAGCACTGAATCAAGCAGTGGCTTGGGGGTATCAGGTAAATACCCATTTCTTTGGAACAGAACAAAACAGAAACTTTTGAGTGAAGGCTAACTATTGCTAGATACAAGTAATATTTCATTCATTCATCCAATCATTCAAACCATACTTCTCATGTGGGCATTGTTAGAGTTGTGAAAAGGTACATATTCAGTTGATTAGCAGTTTACATACAATTTTTTTTCACTTTACTTGGAAGTATGTCACTGCTGGGTATGGTGGGAGTAGCAATTCTATGTGACTTCAAAATTCCATAACTGATTAATTCAAATAAAGAAAATTAGATCTAGACCCTGGCTAGTATAGCTCAGTGGATTGAGTGTGGGCCTGCGAACCAGACAATCATGGTTCAATTCCCAGTCAGGGCACATGCTGGGGTTGCAGGCCGGTTCCCTGCAGGCCAGTTCTCTGCAGGCCAGTTCCCAGCAGGGGACGCAAGAAAGGCAACCATACATTGATGTTTCTCTCCCTCTCTCCTTCCCTTCCTCTCTAAAGAAATAAATAAAATCTTTTATAAAAAAAGAAAATTAGATCTAAATTAATAAAAACTTATATATAGTGTCCACTGTGTGACAAGTAATGGAGTAAATTTTTTACAAAATATGTAGTTATATGATGATGATGATGGTGATGATAATAAATAATTAAAAATATACTATTCATGGGGTAGCATTTCCTAAACTGTAAGGTATGAGCAAATGATGGTTGCTATTAAAATTATAGTGATTTTATCAAAATTCAATACAATACAAATCATTAAAAAGACAGAGTAGAAATAAAATAATACTTGGTATTCCATTTAAGCCACTAGATAAAATTATGTGTCCCTAATAAGCATAATTTAGCCTCACCTAAAACAATTTGTCTTTCACAAACTTAAATGTTCTCATACCTATTAAATCACAGAAGAGAAAACTTTTATAAAACAAAGACATTTTGCTAGTATCACATCTTAATATAATACTCATTATTATAAATGTTTTAAGTGCACAATTAATTTTGTATTATTTTATCAATTTTTAAATTCTCACCTGAGGCCATACTTATTGATTTTACAGAGCGGGCAAGGGAGAGGGAGAGAAACATCCATGTGAGAAACATCGATTGGCTGCCCCTTGTTCCCAGCCAGACTGGGAACTAAACCCACAACCCAGGCTTGTGCCTTGACCAGGAATTGTACCCACAGTTTTCTGGTGTAGGGGACAATGCTCCAACCAATTGAGCCACACCAGCTAGGGCCACAATTTATTTTAGAAAAATAACCTAGAAACCATCATGTTTCTAGTAAATAGTAGAGCATCTGAACATCAAAGGCACATTTCAGGAGTGCAGTGGATAGATGGTTGCTTGTAAGATTAGGACAGAAGGTAATACAGAGAAAGAAATTTTGAACAGGAAGCTACTAACAGGCATCCGTTTGTGGCCTGCATAAATCTAAATCTCAAGCTAAAGGGCTGGAAATGGATGGAAATTTGATAAGCCCAGCAATTTCCATGTCTGAACATGCCTAGTCCTATTACTTTGACGACTGCCAAGGTTCCACACATTTTTATTCTCTGCTATACCTCCTCTACTCCTATTTATCCTTAATGGCCAAATTTGGGCACCACTTCCTCTAAGAAGTTTTTCCTGAGCTAACATCACCACCCTTGGTCTTTTCCCCCTCAGATGTTCCCTACCCAAACAAAGGGTTGGATTAAGGCCCCACCTCTATGCTTCTATAAAATGTGGTATAAATATTTAATATATTTCTATTTTTCAGCCTACTAGTTTACATCATTGGCCCATAGTCTTTCTCATTCAGTGAACTGTGAGCTCCTTGAAAATAGAAACTACGTTTAATTCATTGTTAGGGCTGCCAAGCCTTGCACAGTGCTTGACACAGATGACATGTGTAAGAATTGTTTGTTAAATGAATGCATGGTTGGGTGGGTGACAGGAATACTATACTTACTATTAAAATGGTCTGTACCATTAGATCTACTTCATGTATTGTGACTTGTTAGAAATGTGATGAGAACTGACCATTATGCAATGGAGGTGGTAGAGCGAGGGATGTATTACTTGCACATTTGTGGAGTATCTTCATAAACCAGCAATTTGCATTAGGTTATCCTTTTTTTCCCTCTTACTCTGAGAATAGTAGAGAAGTTGAAGAGAAGTGAAACATGGTTTTTTAAAATCTATTCAACAGATATTTATTGGACATCTGCTCTCTAAGGTGGTAATGTGTCTTAGGCAAACCCAGATTTCATAGTTTAGATATTTAAGAAATTCACCCAAAGGAAGAAAGTAATATGTGATATCAAAGAGAATAATGTTTACTAAAATGAAAGAATGAATGGGTAATAAGGGTCATACAAAAGTCAGAGATGTCAGAGATAAATTGGCTGAATTCAGGAAGCACCCACCAGGCAGGAGTTCTAGGTTCGATTGTCATGGCTTAAAACCTGCTCTCAGCTATAAAGGCCTTGGACCCAGACAAGGTCAGGTCCAGGAAGACAGGCATACACACACACCAAGTTTACTGGAGCTTGAAAAACCAAAAGGCTAATGACCAGGCCAACTGGAAAATTAGTTATGATTTAAACATGGACTCAGAGTAAATGGAGCTGGATGGTACAGGAGATGCTTTAGACACACAGCGCAAATGGGCAAGGCTGATTTCCCATACAGCCTTTCTCTCCAGGAACCCAAGACCAGATTCAGTATCTCCCTCTCTTAGACAGTATTGGATAAATGGAGCATTTGGTAGATACAAGTATATGCCATAAACGGTAACTATTATGGAACTTCAGAGAATTAAAAGATGACATTCAGCCATAGAGAGCAAGGAAAGCTTCAAGGAAGAAGTGGTATTTCAACATGTCTTTAAGATTGCTTAGCGTTTGCTGCAAATTGGGAAAAAACATTCTAAACAGAGGGACAACATGAGCAAAGGAAGTGAGTGATTCATTTTTGCTGGATACAGGCGTAGTATGTGATGGAGAAGAGTAGAATATTGTGAAGGAAAGCTAGAATCAGGCCATGAAGGGGGTTGAATACCAGTAGTAAAGTTAAAATGTGATTTTGGGGGCCATGGGGAGTCATAACAGAGAGAAAGCACTGAACCCAGGAGAATGAATTTGCTAGCAGTGGTGTTAGTTAGCTTGAAGGAGGTATCCCAGCTGCAGAGGCCATTGGAAGCTTCAGAATCTACGTGGGAGGACTGAAACTAGGGCAGGAGACATAGAGGTGGTGCAGAGACAGACTGAGAGTACAAACCAGGAAGTACCATAGTTTTTTTCTTACACATATACACATGCACACACATACACTCACTCAAAAGCAAAATATAAACCTATAAGCTATATGACCAACGTATAATTTAAAACAAAACCTGTTCTAATTTATATGAAATTCTCCATTTATAAAGAACAGAGGATTGAAAAATCATTGATCTTTTAGCCAATAATTGATTTTTGATTGTCCAAATACCAAATTTGATAAAAGTGGGATTTTCAAAGTATCAACGCAGTGGGAATCTATAAGTAAATGATAAGCTTAAGGGAAATGATAAGTATAAGTAAATCTATAAGCTTAAGGAAAAAGAAAAAAATCTTAGATAAATAAATTTTCTTATTTTCCAAAATGTCCAGGTGATTTGTCCAAGTAGGCATTCTTTCAAATACTTTCTAACATTAGCTAACCCAACTAACAGGAATGCTGCAAAAAACAGAAACAGGAGCTTTGTGAGAAGTTTGATTACCTGTATGGCATCCTGGAGGAGAGGAAGAATGAGATGACCCAAGTCATTACTCGAACCCAAGGGGAGAAACTGGAACATGTCCGTGCCCTGATCAAAAAGTATTCTGATCACTTGGAGAATGTATCAAAGTTGGTTGAGTCAGGAATCCAGTTCATGGATGAGCCAGAAATGGCAGTATTTCTACAGGTAAGTCTCCTTTTGACACCAGAGGAAACTGACCAAACAGGTGTGTGTTGGAGAAGTAGTTGTCACCATGTTTTTGTTACTTTATATGCAACCTCATCTGATCCATTTTACCAACTAAAATATAAGCCCATTATGTGCTTATTTTCCATCAGTTTAAACAATTTCATGAGCATATAGTTAAGGGCCCACAACATTGCTTAAACATAAGAGGATTCTGGCATAAAGGAGCAGTTATTTATGGCACTTAAAATGAAGCCACGAGATTTTCAGAGTTGGCAAAGGAAAGAGTTAAGTGTCAACAACACCTTTGATGAAAAAAATTTAAGTAGGCTTGTCTTTTGTTTGCTTTCACAGAATGCCAAAACCCTGTTACAAAAGTAAGTAATTTTCATTTTATGGAAAAAATGCATATTTTTCATTTTTACCCAGGGCTATCAAACTGTAAACAGTGACAGTAAGTGGCAACTTGTCTTTGTTGCAGAATTTCTGAAGCATCGAAGGCATTTCAGATGGAAAAAATAGAGCATGGTTATGAGAACATGAACTACTTCACAGTCAACCTCAATAGAGAAGAAAAAATAATACGTGAAATTGATTTTTACAGAGGTTTGTTATTCTTGTGACCATTTGGCCCAAATTGTAGGTGTATGAAAGCAACAGAAGAGTTTAGTGAGAGGAAATGCGGATTCAGAATCACTTTCAGAATGGATGGTTACAATTTTATGAGGATTGTAATCTAATGTGAAGCTCTATTTCATTACAAAATCATACAGTTTGTTGACAGTGTTTATTTAGTCTTGCATATCATGGTGCCCATTATAATGCCATTATTGGGTATTTGACTCTGGGTAGTCAAATACTTAATAACTGATGGTGATAACAAAATCTCAATTTCAACCCTAGACAAGGCGTTAGCCACAATGAAGTAAAACATTATCAGGTGCAAAGTTAAGGATGAGATAAAAATAAAACATAGTAGACATCAGAGGACAAGAATAGTAGCAAGTCATAGAATAAGTCACAACATGAAATAAAAACTTAGTCCATGTGGCCAGATGTACTCCATGAGTTATAAACATATTCCTACCATGTGGCTCAGAAATCCCACTCCTGGAACTTTGTCCTGATGAAATCATTGACAAGAAGAAAATAACCTTGAAGCTGACCAAATCTTTGATGGCTTGATCCATCCTAGCATGTCTAGGTGATGAGACACTTCAGCTGGACCACTATTAATGCCACAAAGGTGGATTACTGTCCATAGATGTAACTTTAAAAGTAAGTCTTCAGGATAGATCTTTTTTGATTTTTTAATTATTTATTTATCTTTTAGAGGGGAAGGGAAAGAGAGAAGGAGAGAAACATCAATGTGTGGTTGCCTCTCGTGAGTCCCCTGCGGGGAACTGGCCTGCAACCCAGGCATGTGCCCTGACTAGGAATCGAATCTCGATTGTGTGGTTCACAGGCCCACGCTCAATCCACTGAGCTATGCCAGCCAGGGCCCAGGATAGGTCTTTTTATAAATTACTTAATATTATCTCTCCTTAATATTGCCTGAGGGAATAATGTTATGGTTAGAAAAAGAGTCATGGCATTTATTGTGGCAAACATCAGCATTTACTAAATAAAGGAGGTAAGAAATTAAAATAAGACAAGGATTTTGTATGTTTTCTCAGATAAGGAAGAGAGTGGCATTTCTATTTGATTTGATCCAGATAAATAAATGCCAATCCTAGCCCCTCAGGAGGCTGCAGTTGTGACAGAGTGTGATAAAAATGTGAACAGGTTCTGGGCAAAGGTCAGAAGGATGGTGCATGGTAGTGATGAGGACTGTGCATCTTAGTGGGGAGGGGAGCAAGGAAGATGATGATGATTTTTCCTCAGTTCAGAGTTGTCTTGTCCACATTTAACTAGAAGTGCAAAGCTCCAGCATGGCATACTTGGGCCACAGTCGAGTAGCTGTTAAAGATGATTTCTCTAGCCTTGGCCATTAATTGTTTTCATGGCTGCACTAGTAATTGTAATGATTTAAAAATACATTACCTTACCAGAAGAGGAAGAGGAAGAAGAAGAAGGAGAAGAAGGAGAGGGAGAAGAAGGAGGCGGAGGAGAAGGAGAGGGACAGGGAGAAGGAGAGGGACAGGGAGAAGGAGAAGGAGTAAAATTGGAAGAGGTAGAAAATGTTCAAACAGAGCCATCAGGAGAAGATGAAAGTCCGGAGAAAGCCTTGGAACCCTCTCAGCTGGCCTCAGAGCTCCAGGCTGCCCCAGCCACTCTTCCTATTTCCTCTCCAGAGCCACCTCCAGCCCTGCCATCTGCTGCTGATGCCCTGGTGACACAGGTAACCACTCATGAGTTCTTTCCTACAGGACTTGCAGGTGTGCTTCCTTGCCCAACCGCCTAAACAATTTATTCTACCTTATGGAAAAGATAACCGTGTGCCAGACATTTGTATGTAGAAGACAAAAGATTTCAGGGTAGTCACAATATTAGGAAGAAAAGTTCCTGTAGGTGATTCACCTGATTCATTGTTATAACTGGTTGGCAACAATTGGTTTAACATGATTTTCCACCACCACCACCCTCAAATTGGAGGCGATCTTTGTCTGGAAATTGTGTGTGTGTGACATGTTCATAGAGCACCAAAATTGTGAAGATTAGGTCTGTTCTGAATGCAGATATAGGGTAAAGAGTGAGGAATACATAACATTAGAGTGAAAAATAAAAATGATTATACTTTCAAACTTTGCATTTTCTATAGATTATAATGGAAGTGAATAAAGAAGCCATGCTAGTTTATGTCCCTCTTGCTTACCGTGAAATACAACTATATCTTTCATTCAGTGAGCAAACAAATAAAGCTTAATTTTTTATGTATCTTTCATATGATGAGATTATGTATTGACAGAATTGTTTGAAATTTTCTAAGGAAGTTAGCTTATCCCAGGTTCAGTACCTGATGGGCTGACCTTATGTTTCCAAGAATCCACTGTCTAGTTTTCAAGCCTTTGTGCTGACTGCATGCCACCTGCGGCAGACAGATCCCAACCTGCTGAGTCTGTGAACAGTGCAGACTCATCACAAAAGAGCCCTGTACTTGCACCTGCTTTCAAAGAGAATTGAAATTACCTGCAGAAACAAAACCTCAGAAGGAGAGCTCAGGGATGAGAGCACATTCTATGCTCTGCCTCCATGGGAAACCAGGCTCAAATACTATTTTTATAGTTCCTAGAATCTTGAAAATCCAGGTATACCAATTGCACCGAAATTGGAAGAGGGGTGGTAACTAAATGAAAATAGGATCAATGCTTGGTTTTAGGAAAGAGGTTTTTAGGGGCCCGCATATGTCAAAAATTAATTGTGGCCAACAGCTTGACCTCTCTTCCATATCTGATATTTTGTAAGTAACTTTCACTTTAGGATTTCATTGTCTGCCTGGCCAGGGTATCCTCCTGTGAAAAACAAGCCCACAAAAGAAGAGGGGCACTTGCGAAGCCATGAAGAAGGGCACTGTTAGCATTCCTTCCCTTAGCACTTGCCAAGGGTGGGATGAGCTAAAACATGCACTAAACTAGGCACTACACACAGAACTCACAGCTGTCAAACCCAAAGGGAACTAAAATCCACTGCTTTATTTCTTCTTCTTCTTCTTCTTCTTTTTCTCTTTTTACTTTTGAATGTATCTGTCCTGATTAAGGGGGAGGTTGTATCCACTGGCTCTCAGCAGACCACAGAGTCTGAAACTCCAGTCTCTGCATCGATGGACACTGCGGATCCCTTGTTTTACCCTAGTTGGTATAAAGGCCAAACCCGGAAAGCTACCACCAACCCAACTTCCACCCCAGTGAGCGAAGGTCTGGGGCACATAGGGCCTCCAGGTTCTGAGGATTCGAATGTGCAGAAGGCAGAAGTGGCAGAAGCTGCAGCCAGTGAGAGGGCAGCAGTGAGTGGTAAGGCAACTAGTTCACCTGCAGCTACTTCTCAGGTTAGTGCTGATGCTGTTGTGTCTGAATGCTTCCCTGCGCCGCTCAAGGTCCTGCTAGAATCACAGCAAGAAAGAAGGGCTTCCTAAGGGGCAGATAGAAACTGTGGCCTTGGGAAAATCTCAGGAACAACTCAGCCTCAATGCTGGCTTATTGTTTATGCCTTATATTGACCTGTTTTTCTAAGCCTTACATAAAACAAACAAACAAACAAAACACAATTTGACCACTCTGCTCATGAGTGGTAACCTTACACCCGGCTTCCCAGGGGAGGGAGCTCTAGAGGACCTGGCCCTTTGGCATGCAGTTGAGGGCTGCTTCATCTGCAGTGACTGGCTGGTGTCTCTGTTCCCCTCTGCTAGGCCACTTATCCTTGTTCAGCCTCTTCTATGTCCTCCTTGGGCTTCCAGAGACTAATGACCTGCTTTTGCGCCCTTCCTAGCAAACCCCAAGGAGCACGTTTGAATTGAGCTCTAAGCCTGCTCTGGAAAATAACCTGTGATTCATGGATTCTGGGAGTGTGCTGGCTATGTCTAGACAAAGACGGTCTTGGCTTGATTAAACTGGTGCTTCCTGAGCATGTGCCCCGGGAGCAGAAAAGCACAGGTTTTCTTCCATCGGGTTTTTAAAAGAGATACTGCCTTGATTTTTTTCTCCTTTTTGTAATGAAAGTTTGAGATCCATGTCTTCTTAACACTGGGTTAGATGTTTGCATGGCTCAGAGTCCATAGAAGAAATCTTCTGCAGTTTCTTCACAAGGAAGGATGTTCATGGTTACTCCATACCCGTGAACATTCTTAAATGACGTGTGGGTGTGAGCGTTGCCCAGACAAGGGGCTGTCGGACAAAGTCTCTGTAGTTCCATGCTCCTGGGTCATCAGGTGATTACAGACAACATTTCAAACACCATAAAATAACTTATTATCTCGACTGTACTTGTTCAAGTGAACCTCCATTTCATGAGATTAAAAAAAAGGAAATTTTTTTTAATTAAAAATAACAGGCTTTGTGCCATATATTTATTTTCACAGATGAAAATGACAAAAATAATTGTTTGTTTTGAGGGAAACTTTTGAGGTGGATTTGGGGTTTAAAAAAATGAAGTAGACTTTGATTATTTCTAGAAAGTTTGTGGGAATTCTTACATCTTTAGTGGAAGTTGAGTAAGGAAGAGCTGTTTTCTGAAAAAATCCTGTAAGGAGCACTAAATAGGGCTCTGAACCAAAATGAAAGGCCACCTAAATGATGCTGGAAAATTTTGTTGTGATAATGTCAGTGAAGCTTTCTTCTTGTTTCTCACAGGAGTTAGCAATCTGCCTAGCACTTCTGGCTTTTCTTATACTTCACTACATCTGGAGTCAGATTCAGTGCTTGATTTTTACTTTAATGGGTAGGAAAAATTTTCTTTTCCCTTGACTAACATTTCATGTAGTTTCCTTGATCATGTTCCTCTTCTGTGGGCCCAGAGATAAATTTTTCCCAAACTTGAGCCTCAGCCACCTAAAAAGAACGAAGTTCCTAGACAATACTGTGGCCTCAGGCTCTCGCAGTGCAATCACCTCAAGGCACCTTCCTGAGGAGAATTGCTCAATTATCTAATCCTGCTTGGAGGGGAATCCTGACTCAGAAGTGACTCCGTGGGCAATTATTCAGTAATCCAGTAACAATGGACCCTCCGGAATGGCCATTAGGGGAGACCAGTTTCAAAAGGTCCATGCTACTGGGAGAAGAATCCACTGCTCTTAAAATAGAGGGAAGCTCAGCAAAAGACTCTCTAGGGCTTCCATAGAATAAGTAGCAGCATTTCATCTGCTTATACCAGGGGAGCCCAGGAGGTGGCCACATGACTCCTGTTGGAAATACCCAGGCAATTCTTGGTTTGGTGGACAGGTGATCTAGGTGACTCCTCAATTGTCTTTGAACCATGAGACTCTACAGTGTCTTTCCTGGGAGAGGGGGGTCCCTGAAAGAAAGGGGCCCTAGATACAGCAATACCAGGGAATTGCAGCCAGGTGAAATCTGGATGAGTAAAGAACTGGCGACCAATGTTTATTTATTAACCATAATGAATTAGAACCAAAGAAAAGTCATAAAGTCAACAAATAGCATGTTATTTTTGAGTAGACTTTCTCAAGTCAGCCTTTTCTTGATTACTGTTACAAGGTTTGCTTAGGGACTGCCATCTTACTCTTTTAATAATGTTGTGAACATTATCGGTTTAATTAATATTTAAAGATTCAAACCCCATGTACTTTTAGTAAATGACCTTGCTGAACCTGAGACCCAGCTCCCTGTGTCTGTAGCTCAGAAGCAATTCAGGGTGACTGATGCTGAAAGGCTTCTGCTATTTCTGGCTCATTAACTTTTCCCTGGGTTGACACTGACTCTTTCTAGAAGATCCCATTGTACAGGGTTTGGTTTTGTTTTTTTTTTCTCATTAGCTGTCTGCCCAGCAAAGGCAGTGGAATCTTTGTGGAGCCCTGTTATGTCTTAACCTGTGTGTGAGTAGGGCCTGCCCCCAATGCCTAATAGTCAGTCACAAACTTGTGCCCCTAGAATGTTCTGAGTGTCCTTATAGTGTGCTCAGGTGCTTAACTCCTCCTCTTGTTATTATTTATGTTGAAGAGAAGTGGGAGGAAGTAAAATGCCATGCTTCATTGGAATAATCTAACGTGGATCTGAATAATTGTCTGAAGAGTTCAGCTTTCTTTCTGAGAATTCAGGTTTGGGGACTGGTTGCCATATATCCTTGTAATACTTCTCTGAGGCTGCAGGGGGAGAGTCATGCTTCTTGTCTGCCATCCACTGAGCCCATGTCATGTACACTGACATTATTCATGTGCCTGTCTGGTGAGATGAGGGTGAGGCAAGTGGGGACGAGGTGCAGTTGGGTGAATTCACATTCCGTTTGCAAAGAACCTTGCTTGTGTAGTTTTTGGCATTTGAAAAAGGGCCTTTCACACAGAGCAGGAAATCTGTTTATGATGAAGTACCACTCTGATCCATGAAAAGATATGGACAGATGAATAGAGACTCCACCATAGTAGAAGATTTCCTGGCCTCTGAATTTTTTGCAGGCCTGATTTACCTTCACCACCTCAGAACCCAGCTTACTAAATTAGTATTTATCCAGTGCAAGATTAGCTTGTTGGAATTCCATTCTTCATCAGTAGTCTTTCCCTGAACATTTAGACTGTGATACAAAGCTCTACATGCTTTACTGGCAGTCTGACCTCTCTTTACTGGTCCCATGTCAGGGAATCAGGTTGCTTTAGAAACTCAGAAGCATCTCAGGCTCACTTGCTCATCTGTAAACTCACTTCAGACCTCATCAACAGAACTGCAAATCTTTTAAGAAGACCAGAGTTCTATCTCCAGGTGCTTTAGTCATTGCCATTCATGTGTCCTTGCTTTTTCTGCCTGAAATGTCATGCAGCGCCTTTATTTGTACTTTCTCTCTTCACCTAATCACATAAGTAGTTTATGTGTTAGAAGGTGGTCATGGCAAAAGCTAGACATCAACTCTTTCCACCACTAGTAAATGGGAAATCTGCTTTAAAAAAAAAAGATTTTATCCATTAATTTTTTTAGAGAGAAGGGAAAGGAGGGAGAAAGAGAGGGAGAGAAACATTAATGTGTGGTTGCCTCTCATGCACTCCCTATTGGGGACCTGGCCTGCAAACCAGGCATGTGCCCTGATGAGTAGTAGAACTGGTGACCCTTCATTTCGCAGGCCAGCACTCAAACCACTGAGCCACACCAGCCAGGTTGGGACTCAGCTTTTTGATAGGTCAGAAGAGCACTGTTGCTTTCCCTACCCTCATTCTCAAAGAAAAAATCATTTCTCAACAAGATTTGAATTCAGCCCTATATCAAATTGGATCACATAGAAGGCCCTCGTTCCTATTTGTCCTTCTGCAGGATGCACTTTGAACCCAATCACACTTCATTCCTCTCAGAAAACCTCTTAAAAGAAGTCACAGATCAAACTATGCAAAGCTTCTCTACATAAATAGGTCTTTAGCTACAAACTTGCCTTCTAAGTTTCCTCCCTTTCCAGACCATGCCTGGATGCTCAGTCAATGCAAAGAGAGTTTGGTGGAAATGACATTTGACCTGTGTCATGTGTTAATTTTTTAATTCATTTTGAAAAAATTACACCAGTCCTTAGTCAACCTTAGAACACAGGGCAATAATAAGCTGAGGAGAAGGAGTCTGCAAGACAAGGTCAGCTTCTCTTGGAAAGCAGTCTTGAAAAGTGGCCTCATCTCCTGGGGATGCTTGGTCCAGTCTGCTTCCATCTGCTGCCCTTCCTCTACCTACACTACTTACATGTAAATTATACCTGGGGATTAACACAGGGACTGCCTTCACCCCTGGCCCCACCCCCATGGGCAATTGGGTATTTTGGGGGTGAATATGAATGGCAGTTAGATTTTCTAGAAGTGGAAGCAGCAGGTATAAGTCCCTCCCTGTTCCCCTTTCTCCCTTCTCTGTGAGATTTAGTGGCCTTGTGTGCAAGAATTTGCCCAAATCATTTAATGGGAGCTGTTCAGGGAACAAAGATTTCCAGAGAAATGTCTTCCTGTTTGGTGTATTAACTTGGCAGCTGCTCTGGCTGATGCCTGAGGTGGACTGGGTGTGGCAGCTGCTTCAAGGTTAGAAGACTACCCCACCATCTCACCTCCTACATACACACACACCCTCCACAAAGAGAGGATTTTTTTTGCCTTAGAGATAGGGACTTTGACATTAAAATTTCTGCAGTTTCTGCCACTATAAAGAATCATAGCTCATATATTTTTTCCAGAGTGTGAAGTTGTAGTTGTATAAGACTTTAAAAGCTTTATTATATTATAGCTATTTGTTGTTTTCAAGAATATAATATCCACTTTTCACATTCTAATCTTTAAGCCTGAAAATAGACCAATAAGTTGGGCAGAAATTCTGCCCAGTCTTGGGGCACTGGAAAGATTAATGAATTTAGAAGAAAGGATTTACGTCCTCTCATCTTGCTTTCACACCTGACTCTGAGTGTTTAATTTTTTTGAGCCTCCATTTTCTCACCAGGGAAATGAAGCAACTACTCAATGAGAAAATTCATCTATTTATACAACATAAGAGAGTAAAAAAATCTAGTACTAAAGATTTTATAAACTGTTTCAGGATGTTTTCATTGGAAGGATTATGGAATTAGGACTAATGCAAATCATTCTGAGTGACAATGTAACCATAAATTCTCAGTGAAATGAATAGCTCATTTCATTTTCTAAAATAGATCTCTTTTTTAATGTTTTTTAAATCCTCATCCAAGGAAATTTTTTTTTCATTTCATTACTTCTAGAGATAAGAAGGGAGAGAAAAAAAATTGATGTGAGAGAGAAACATCAACTGGTTGCCTCTCATATGCGCCTGGATGGACAGGGGATTATACACACCTGGACTGGGGAACAAACCTACAATGCCCAGATTGGGGAATGAACCCACAGTGAAGGCATGTGCCTTGACCAGGAACCGAGCCTGAAGCCTTTCAGTTAAGGCATGATGCTCCAATCAACTGAGCCAAACTGGCCACAGCCCAAAATATGTCTTATCTTGAAGGTCTTATATAAATCCCCATTTCCCAAAATGTTTGGCAACTCTCCTCCTAGTCATCCATTTACCTGAATGTTTGTTTACCCAGATGTTACTACCCATTTAGAGTTTTGATAAACTCTATGAAAATCCATGATGACTCAACTCTGAAGTCCACTTAAAGGCACTTATGGAGTTCATTGTCCAGTAGAGCAAAGACAGAAGATATACGTTAGAGAGTCACACAATATTAGATGAACGAAAAGGTAAAAGATATGTGATTTTTAAACTTACCTATTTTAAGTGTAAGATTCAAGCACATTTTAAAAATATGTAGCATGTACAGACATTACCACAATTAAGATATAGAATATTTTTGTCACTCCAAAAAGTTCCCCCATGTGTCTTTGCAGTTAATCCCCTCCTTGCATCCCAGTTTATGTTTTGCTTGTCGTTACAGTTTTGCCAGTTCTAGAAGATCATATAAATGGAAAGATGCATTCTGTAGACTTTTGTGACTGGTTTCTTTCACTTAGCATAATGCTTTTGAGATTTATCCATTTTGTTGCACTTATCAGTAGCTCATTTCTTTTTATCCTTAGTAGTATTCCATTGTATGGACATACCACAATTTACCTGTTCATCACTTGATGGGTGGTTGTATTGTTAGAAGTTTTGGCTATTTAAAAATAAAGTTGCTATGAACGTTCACATATAGATCTTTGTAAATGTGGGTTTTTTAATTTCTCTTGAGTAAATACTTAGTGAAATTGCTGAATTACATGGTAAATTTATCATTAACATCACAAGAAACTGTCAAACTCTTTCACAATGGCTATTAAATTTTGTGTTTCCACCAGCAGTGTAAGAAGGTTCTAGTTACTCCATATCCTAGTTAGAAATTGGTATTGTGTTCACCTTTTACATTTTTGCCATTCTAATAAATGTGTGTTGTATCTTCTTGTAGTTTTAATTTGCCTTTTCATGTTCTTCTTAGTTATTTTTATATTTATTTTGATAAAATAGCTGTTCCTATATTTTACTGACTTTTTGTTGGATTATTTATCACCTTAGAGAGTTATAAAGTTCTTGTGTATTTTGGATAAAACTCCCTTTTCAGACACATTTTGCAAATATTTTCTCCAAGTATATGGTTTGCCTTTTCATTTTCTTAACAATGTATTTTGAAGAGCAAACATTTTTTAGTTTTAATGAAGTCCAATTTGTCATTTTTTTCCTTTGTGATTTGTACTTTTTGGGTCCTGTTTAAGAAATCTTTGCTTAATTCAAAGTCAAAATATTTTCTCCTATGTTTTGTTCTAGATTTTTTAATAGTTTTAGCTCTTAAATTAGATCTAAGACCATTTTATGTTAATTTTTATACATGTGAGGTAAAAATATAGGTTTTTCATTTTTGTGTGTTTTTTGGTTTTTCATATATCCATTTGTCCCAGCACCATTTAAAAAAATTATTCTTCCCTCAGAGAATTATCTTGATGGCTATGGAAATTCAAATGACTGTATATGTGTGGGTCTACTTCTTGACTCTCTAATTTGTAGCATTGATCTGTATGTTTTCCCCTACCAATATCACACTGTCTTGATTATTATAGCTTTATAAAGATCTCCAGAATAGGTAATATAAGTCCTCCACTCTATTGGTTTTATTTGACTTTATGGTTTTTTGGTCCACTTACTACTGTATTCATTTTTGCTCTTTATTATTTTCATCCTTATTCTGACTTTGGGTTTCATCTTCTCTTTTTCTTTTTAGTTTCTTAGGTTTAAAGCTTGGATTATGGATTTAAAATCTTTCTTTTTTTAATAAAAAACATTTACTGCTATAAATTTCCTTCTAGTCACTACTTAGACCTTCCCATAAGATTTGATATGTTGCATTTTTATTTAATTCAAAAAGTTTTATAATTTACCTTGTTGCTATTTCTTTGACCTTTGGTTATTTAGATGGTAGTTTTTAATTTCTAGATATTGGGAGATTTTCTAGATATCTTGATGTTTAACTTCTGGTTTGATTCTATTGTGGAGAAAAGTATTCTTTATATTATTTCAATCATTTTGAATTTATTAAGATTTGTTTAATGGCCCAAAATATAATCTAACTTGGTGAATGTTTCATATGCAACTGAAAACATTGTATGTTCTATTGATGTTAGGTAGAGTGTTCTACAAATATCAATTAGGTCAGTTGACTTACAGTGTTGTTCAAGTCTGTTATAATTTTACTGATTTTCAATTTACTTGTTTTATCAGTTGCTGAGAGGGAAATTTTGGTATCTCTGACTATAATTGTGGATTTTTCTATTTACCCTTTAAGTTCTATCAGTTTTGAAATTCTGTTTAGGTGCATTCACATATAGCATTGTTATATTTTCTTGAAAAATTTATCCCAAGATAAGTGTTAAAAAAGATAACTTCCTTTCTATCTTTCTCCTTTTTATGCCTGCCCACTTGAATGGAAATAAAGAGGGTCCTCATTCACATACACTATCTTTTAAGGTAGCTAAGAAAAGATAGGGTGCAGGTGGGAAGAAGCCTGGAGGAGGAAGGTGCTGACATTCCTTATGGCACTTCAAATGCCTGGTCTAAATCCAACAAGCCTGCCCCCTCTTCCTCCTCCAGCCACACACAAGGACAAATATAGAAAAGGCTATATTTCCTGATGCTTTTAAGTGACTAGGCTGAACTTTACAATCTAGTGACTAGTTGTCAGTGATCCATGGGGCTCTATTTATAGTTTTCATGTACACTGCTTTATGAGCTAATATCTCTGTCCATTTTCATGACACACCTATGCCCTAGTTCACTCATTGTCATGTCTAAACTAGTTTCCACAGAGGTCACCCTGTCATGGGAAAGGGACTTCCAGCACTGGGCTTGTGCTCTTCGTGAAGAAGGTCCAAGGGTCTCAATCCAAGAGGTGCAGTTGTCCCTTCTCCTGTCCTGAGTGTTTCTATATAGCATATCATGAACTCAGAGACAGAAATTGAGGAACAGTGTGGATCATCCACACTTGTGAGTTCTTCATTTTAAAACAGCAGAAGGACATGAAGGTCAAGACCATTGTGAAAAAATATCACACAAAAAAAAACCCTGGTCCATGGCCATCTTAATTCTCAACTCAGGACATTATAATGGTACTTCCAGAGAAAAATGATAAAAAGTAAAGAAAGGAAGGAAGGAAGGAAGGAAGGAAGGAAGGAAGGAAGGAAGGAAGGAAGGAAGGAAGGAAGGAAAAGAAATAGGAAAGAAAAAGACCTGTGTTTTAAATGGTTAAGAAGACAGGCTGGAGCTAGCAAAGATTCTTTTCTCTTCTCGAAGCCCAGGGTTTATTTCCTAGGCTCTCAGAAACAAGTACATGGGTCCTCAGACCTTATCAAATTTCTCATCATCCCAAAATTCAGTCCCCTTGAAAATATTCATATTTTCTTAAACCAGAATGAACAATAGGCCAAAGCAAGCTAGGGGAGCCCTGAGTCTCCACAAGTTGTCGCACACAAAAAAGATAAAATCATTTTCATGCAAATAACATTTGAGACCAAATCATTCACTCTGATTTGAAAGGCAAATACCGACTCCATCGGCCACCAGAGACTGAGAGATGAGAGTACCAAAGGCTAGGGGCTAGAAGGCTTTTCTTTCCTTTCCTTTCCTTTCCTTTCCTTTCCTTTCCTTTCCTTTCCTTTCCTTTCCTTTCCTTTCCTTTCCTTTCCTTTCCTTTCCTTTCCTTTCCTTTCCTTTCCTTTCCTTTCCTTTCCTTTCCTTTCCTTTCCTTTCCTTTCCTTTCCTTTCCTTTCCTTTCCTTTCCTTTCCTTTCCTTTCCTTTCCTTTCCTTTCCTTTCCTTTCCTTTCCTTTCCTTTCCTTTCCTTTCCTTTCCTTTCCTTTCCTTTCCTTTCCTTTCCTTTCCTTTCCTTTCCTTTCCTTTCCTTTCCTTTCCTTTCCTTTCCTTTCCTTTCCTTTCCTTTCCTTTCCTTTCTTTATTTTTTAAGTCCTCACCTGAGTATATGTTTATTGATTTTAGAGAGAGAGGAAAGGAGAGAGAGAAAAAAAACATTGACTTGTTGCCTCTGATACAGGTCCCAACTGGGGATCAAACCCACAACCTACGTATGTGCCCTAACCTGAAATCCAACCAGCAACATTTTGGTGTAGGGAACGATGCTCCAGCCGACCCAACTGGCCAGGGTGGAAGCCTTTTCTGAACAAGATTAATTTCATAAGGTATTATAAGACATTTAAAAAATAAAGTAGGAGACCAAAAACGTGATTTCCCACAAGGGTGACTATAGGTCCTGTGGTTATTGAAATGATCTATTTAATTTTCCAAAAGAAACTGAAATGAATGGAAGTGTATCTATGTTCTCTAAATTTGATTGAGGGATTAAAGGTGTCGACTTATTTTCTAACAGAAATCCCTACTGAGAGTGATTGCTGTAGTTTACAAATTAGGAGATTCAACCTTACAAATCACTGATATGCCCCATGTCCTGAATATGCTGGAATTTCAACTTAGTAAAAGTAGAGAGAAAACTGATCAGTGGTTAGGAGTAGCCTGCAGTTACTGATTAACATTATCCAGACTTAATAATCCTGGAAATTATAAGAAGGTATAATAATGAAATGCAGTCATTTTTATGTAGAAAATTATAGAACACATTGAGTGTTTTCTTAGATAAGTAAGCATTAGTGAAGTTATTATATTAACATTATTAATGCCTTTTCATTTGTATCCTACAACTGAAATTTTCTTTTTATGGGCTTTCCCCCAACTCCCCCCCTCCCAGGAAAGTGACATCCTAATAATTAATTGTCAGTTTGGGGGCTTTTCTAGAAGGAAAAAAAATCTGTACAAAAACTGTAGACTGTATTTCTCAGGATCAAATAGCATTCTTAGTAAATGTCACTTTAATAGGAAGCTAAATGGATATATGCACTTTAAGGAGGAAAATATAATGTAAATTGTGTGTGAGCAATGTAATGAATTCATTTCCCTGGCAACCTGTGCCCACAGCTCTACAATTCTGTGAAAACAGTAGCACAGGCACTGGAGAGAGCTCTCTGGGGAAGTTATGACATAGCTAGTTGAGTTTTGCTTCCTGTGTTTTTAAATTGCTTATTATTCTTATTTAACCTAAGACCTATGACAATGCTGTACATGCCTTGGACTTTTTTCTGTCTTTACGTATCTCAGTGATTTCCATGAAATGTGTTTGTCCCCACTACAGCCCACAAAGTGAAGAATTAATCTACCATCATGTTAATGCATCTAAAAAGCCAATTCCATGTAGCAATGGCTGTAACTAATGTGTGTATACTGCTTTATCATTTACATAGTCTTTCACAGAGATTCTGTCACGTAAACCTTCTAACAACCCTGTACGGAAGGAATTGTTAAACTTCCCCATTTCATAATGAGGGATTTTAGAAGATGAGTGACTTGCTCAAGATCACAAAGTAGCTGGAGCTTGGTGCCCAGCTATCCCTTGTCTTTCTCTATGGAGTATGTGTGTGCAGTAAATGGAGACCAAGCCCACATCTAGGAAGAATGAATCCCCACTTCTCTGGAGCTCATGTGACTGAAGCAAAAATAGTGTGACCACGGGTTCCCTTGCTTTGACTCACTGTTCATGACACAATAGCACAGCTTCCACAGGGCAGAGAGGTCATTTCTGGCCTCCACTGTTTGCAGGGATGTGGC